TCCTCTAATTCTTTTTTCAAAATAAAACAATTTTGAAGATCGTAATCTGTCATTATATTACAACCTTTCCAACCCAGTTATCATCCTAGTAGCCCTACTCTGAACTCTTTTCAACACTTCAATGTTTAACCTAAGATAAGGAGCCATAGATGCACAATAGATGCAGCAACCCATGATAATGTACATTTTGACCAGAATTAGACTGTGTGTTGTTACATGTAAGCTTCCATTTACAATAATAATGATTGGTCTATTATGTCTTATTGTGCAATACTTTCCATTCACACTTGACCCATTCACATCTTAGTTTGAGACTTCAGTGAGAATGGTCAAAATAAGAAATGATACAAATGATAATTTTATAAATAAATACATACAATTTATGGGCAAGGGACCTCTTGGTTTACTTAGGCAATCCCATCCACTAAATTAAATTTTGAAGTGAAAATGAAACACTCAAAGCCAGCTCTTATCTTTCAAATATTCATCAAGTCTTCCTTTAAACTCCCATAAATTACCTGAATCCACCACATATGATAGTAATCCACTCTGTTAGAAAAACAGTTGTTTTAGCTGAAGTTGACTCCTACCCTCCTAAAATTTATACTTGTATCCACTAGTTACACCATTTTCACCATTAAGCACAAAAAAAGGAAATATTAAGTACATATTACAACCTTTCCATCCCAGATATCATTCTAACACTTCAAAGTTTATCCTAAGATAAGGAGCAATAGATTGAACACAATACTCCAAATGTGGCCTGATCAATGACCTATACAATGAAACTATAACATCTTTTGACTAATTTTCAATATTTTTGTACATACAATTTGATTTACCAGTCAGCTCCTCTGACCAACTCTTCCCTACACCATTAGCCTCTATGTGCACTACAAAGTCTGCATCACTGCTAGCACCCTTTACTATATTGCTTGCTCTATCAGTTATATCCTCCATCCCTGCCCCTGAAGAGCACAGTTTAATCTTTTCCCCCTTTTTACTCCACATACTATCCTATCTACGTGTTGTACTAAAGAATCACCTATAACTATAACCTCCTTATGTTTTCTACTCTAATCCATATCTGTTTCTTTTGTTTTAACATAAATAATATCTTAAAAGTTATCTATGAGAAGGATTTTCAAAAAGCACCAGAACTTTCTTGAAAATGTGTTAATATCCAATGGCTAAAATTTTCAAGACCTAAACACTATTTATATGTTACTTTTCAAAACTGTCAATCAAATCAAGACATTCTTAAGACCCTAGCTCAAAATTCTTGACTTTTTCATATTTGAAACATTGTATGAGTAAGGTTAGCAATTTTCCAATCCATAGGCACCTGTTTACTGTCTAATGACTTACTAAAAAAAACAACAGAGGTTTGCATATGATCTTTGACCTCCTTTAACTCTCCACTATGGGCTCGTAATAATATTGTGCTTGTTATAGTTTTCATACTATAACTTTTAATACAGTATGCTTATCTTCATTATTCACTTCATTATGCATATTACCAGTAAATACTACAAGGCTCTCACACACAAAATATTAGATGTTTTTATTAAATTTTAAGATTTTTTATGTAATTGTTTGCTCGTGCATTTTTTTTTTTCAAATGTTGACTGTCCAGCATGTACAGTAACTTTGATTTTAAAATTAAAAATTCTTTTATGCATCAGACAATTGTCAAATTTCACATACAAAATCTTTATAACCTCCTGATAATCTCCAGATAATTATTAAATGTTTTTTGTTTAGAAAAAAAACATTATATTTTGTATCGTATTTTCACTATTGTACTTCTGTATGGGTTTGGTCGATCTGACTGACCTCGTAACCAGCATAAAAATGAGGAAACAGATATAAATTAGAATGACTACAAATCTTAACAAAAAAACTACAAATGTTTAGTCCAAATAGCTTAAATATCATAAAATTGTACATCTAGATATACATATATATTCATTATTTTTATTTTATTCATCTTTCTGTCATGTCAACATTACAGAAGTTGCCATGACACAGTGCACCTGCACTCATGTTACCGTATCTAATAGTATAAAACTGGATTTTACAAAGTGACCTGTCTTAGCTTTATTCTAGTGGACCAGTATTTGGTAAAATACACTCACAGTTCAGTTGTAATACATTACATATGTAGATATGTTATTATTATTTACAAACAAGTTCTTAAATTTCAGTTATTTTTCTTAAAACATAGAACAATAAATAAAGAAGCATAGAAAGCAATGATCTCTTCTACTTATGAATATAAACTCGTTTGCCACTTGCCATAATTAGCTAGGCCTTTTCAAATTTCGTAAGTGGAGGATCTAAAACAAAATTTTTTTAGGTTTTATATATGCATTTTGAAATAATAAAAATGAATAAATTACCATATCAATACCAGAGAAATCTATTACAATTTATCAGGCTTAGTTACTAAGCTGTATGTGGGTTAGAACAACATTTTCATTTACCCCTTCCTACCCGAGTTCGAGACAAAGAAAAAAGCTTGTGAACTTTCCACTTCAAGAGCCTGAGAAAACCATGTGGGGAAAATTCTAAAATTTTGGTTGGTTATAAAGCCACGGAGGAGTAAAGCAGGTGTATGTAAGAATTTCCAAAAACGGAAGAAAATGGTGGGGCCACTATATTTGATTTGCTAAATATAGTGATATCTCAGCAAATAGAAAAGACAGAAGATTCTTTTTTTATATTATAGCTTGTCAATATTGGTAATTTAATTCATAAGAAACTATACATTTTGTATTTGGACACCATAAACATCTAATTTGAACCAAAGCTGCATTCAACATACCACGTGACACATAAAAATCAACATTTAAGAACTATATTTTAATATTTACTTTTAAATTAAACAAGTAACTAAAGTACAATACTAAAATTTGAGTTATAATCTACAATTTGATACCAAACCTATTGAAAGACATTCATAAAATAGTAGTTTAATAAAATTTTAAAAGTAAGTCTACAAATGTGATGACATGCCTTTTGACCCCTGACCATAGGAAGATCCATAGCGAGAGGGTTAAAACCCTTGGAGAAGGGACATTGTCTTACTCCTGTACTTTATTTTTAAATCAATATGTTTACTTACCATCAAAGAATTAATATATACATTATTCAGGCCAATTCCATTAATTCCCCTTAAATGTGCTAGGTCAAACAAAAACGAAACATAAAATGATACCCAAACTAATTTCCCATAAAATAGTTTCTTTAGTTCATTTTAAAATAACACAAATTTCTACACTTACAATATAAGTTCTTTACCATGCTACATCCAAAGGATGAAAAACTTTACGAAAAGATACAAGCTTAAAATAATAAATTTTTGATCTAATTTTTATATCATTAGCTATGGCTAATTTTTGTTATTTTCTATTTCAACTACTGGTTAATGTATACTCTATACATACAAGCTCAGCCAATTTGACCAATCTTGTCATCAAGATGTAACTGTGGAACTATACATAATATAACTCAAATTGCACTTAGTGTATCTTCTCAAAATTTTGCAAGCTTCTAGTAAATTTTGTAAGTCTGTTGTACACAGAAAATCACATTATCTAATAAAGTATTTTTACTAAAGATTTATCTGTGAATTTACAAAGCCTTTACAGAATCAGTCTGAGTGAAAGATCATTTTATTATTAAGAATAAAAAAAATCCTTCTTTTCATCAGAAAGATTTCAACTCCATATTTCATTTGAATAACCTCTGGAACTTCCTGCATGAATATGATTTTTTTTCATTAAAACATATATCTCTTACTTTCTCTACCTTAACACTAACTGTAGTGAAATCATCAATGTACAATGAAATGAAAAATTGAAACACAATCAATAATACTTCTTTTTTTTCTAACAGTCTCAGCTTCTAACCTTTTAACATTTGCTTTCTTAAAATTTTATGGTTTTATTACTGCACTATAAACCCTATTTCTGCCTGAAAAGCAATAAATCATATTGGAATATTTCCTGTACAACTAAGGGTAAACAAATGATTAGGTTACAAACAAGCACTACCATGAGAGACTTTCCAGCTTCCTCATCAAACTAAGTTTATTACCTCACCTAAGAAGCTTTTAACTCTTATATTTCAGTGCCTTTTGTTAAAAAAAACATCTAACAATAAATATATATATATATATATTGAAAAACAAGAAATGTAGCACATATTTTAGCATTCAGGCCATTTGTACTCAGACCATGCTTCAGTAACTCTGCTTAGACTATCCAAACAATAATTCAAATAGCTTTCAAACATGCATTTTAATACTGAAAATATATCAGGTATGAGATTATATGTTTTAAAACTACTATAATTTATCTGGTTTCTAGCTAGGTTATAAATATGTTACAAATTTCTCAAGGTTTTCTTGTGAACTATCATCTTTGATCGAGAAAAACTACAAAACAAACAAGATTGCTGTAAATTTCAACATGCTCTTTCTGTTGGTTATAAACAAACACGCCAATCAGACAAGTAGGAGTGAGTGAATATTATGCTTGAAATGCACAAAAAAATGGAAGAGTCTGTTTTCATGGACTTGACATATTTACTGACATCTGAGCAAATCAAAAAGGTAGGAGGTTCAAGTTTTATTTTCTTCTTTGTCAGTATGAGTAGCTTGTGTTTCTAATTGTTTACGCACTACAGAGGTTGTAGTGTTCAAATTATTAAAACCTCAAGGGAGAATTCAGAGAGCAAAATGTGTCACATGACTCAGAAGAGTGAAGATTTAGTTTTTTTTATATATTCTCTTGTGAAATTAAGGATTTCAAATTTGAATTATAAATTATATTTTGATACAACTGAAATTCATTGAGAGTAAAGCTGTTTGATTAAATTTTGAATGTAATTCCGTAAAAAGTTTATGAAATGTGCACTTTCACTCAGCCATATACAAAGGTTAAAAATGACAAGATAAAACACAGAAAATCTAATCTAAAACTGACAATATTTACCTTCTTTTTCGTCACTGGGTGAGAATAGATTAGTGGATGAATAATACTTTCTTGTCTATCACTAACCATCCAAAGCCGTTCCCAACGATGATATTTTTCACAGCTAAGCCCTTCAATAAGCTCAGTTAGAGGTGCAAAAACTTGTAAAGTAAAAAAAGTAATTAATAAGTATTATAGTACTAAGAGACTAGTATAACAAAGTACAATACTACGTAACGTCT